TATGACTCACACTCCTGGGGTGTCAGTTCTGTGAAGAACAGCATCGTCGCCACTTCAGTTTTCCGTCTATGCAAGGGAGTGCGTGAACACCAGTGGCTGGCGCCCACCGGGTTATAACCAGCGTCGTACAAGCCTTCGTTACAAATGACACCCCCTTTTCAAGCTGGCAGGTCATGACACATTGGCTGCGCCGCCAGAGCCAAATACCCCAGGCGACGATCCGACCAACGCATCCACCATGAACTCCGAGAATGCCTAACAAGAAAGCCGGCGTGACGACCCCATATTGCATGGAGCGCCAGGCCATTGAGCAGACTGATACGAGCCCCGCTGTCCAGCTGGCAGGAAGGGCAGGACTGAGCGCGCGCGTAAGTCCATCACTCAACATTTGGTCAGTCTGCTAGGCGCCTGTTGAGACGACGGACCCGTACCGACGGCGGCTTCGGCGATCATTAATCCAGTAATAATACATTAAGCTAGGCGGCATATGGACGACCCAGCCCCCAAGTGAATCGTGTTAACTGTGAAGAATAAACGCGTCAAACATCACGGCCATTCCCAGAAAACACGCATTAAATCTTATTAGAATCAGATCAAACTCGCCAAATCGCCCAGATAATGATTGTTGGCCATGAAGTCAGCACAAAGCCCAGGCGTCAAGCCTGCCCAATCGCCTTCACACGATGTCGAAAACAAACTACCAATAAATACGATCGGAAACGACCAACAAGCCGCAATGGTGCCAAACGTATGTACATTGCGCATGCATACTTAAACGCTGTCTACTGAACACACTCCATCGTGACCATTCAAGTCCTGTGCAGCTACAACGCAGTATCACAGCCGCAATGGTGATGGATGGGCGCCCTTCCCGGGCACTGCATGCCTAGAGAAAAGCCACACGAAGCCATGGACGGTGCGCTATGCTCCCAGCGAGAAGTCACGCTCGCACTGAGCGGAGTGCATCCAGCCAGTCACGGCTGGAGAGACAGTGATCACGACAGGACTCCTTACCGGCGGCTCCAGCGCAGCTGAACGAGACAAACGCGTGTTAGACAGCCAGTGGCGATGCACGGAGCGTACATTGTCGAACAAACGGTATCCAGTGACAGCGCACGGAGCGTCGGCGCAGTGTACGAAGCGGTGTTCGCCACCTGTCGCACTGGTGACCCATCCCACATCAGGTCACCGAACGGGTCGGGGCGCGACGGCTGAGGCAACCCACTCGTCTATCAGCGAACTTCGACCCGGCAGACTTCCGAGCGGGCGTGTCGCGGCCGCTCGTTTGGAGGGCTTGACTGCCAGACTCCCTGCATCAATCTCCAGCTGGACGACAGGCCGGATTGCCGAAAGTCTGACTGGCAGCGGCGTCCGATGGCAAACGGCCAGTTACTGCTGGAAAGGCTCGAAGCGCCGACCACTCGGCCGTCGCAATTTACCTATCTGGTGAACTATGTATCACCTGTCCATGACCCTGACTCGGACGGCAAACTTTTCGTTAGTGATGGAAAGGCATGTCTCAACCCACGAGTCAACAACTTTGGTGGAAAGAGAGAGAGAGAGAGAGAGGAGAGAGAGAGAGAGAGAGAGAGAGAGAGTAGAGAGGGATATAGATATATATATATATATATTATATATACGCATATATATATATACATACATAAATAAATAAATATATATATATATATATATATATATATATATATATATATGCATATATGCATATATACATATATATACATATATATACATATATATATATATACATACATATATATATATATATATATATATATATATATATATATATATATATATATATATGCAGACAGGTGCCTGGAGTCCCAGCAAGGCCTCCCAGGATCCGGTCCCAAGATCCAACCAACATGGAACCCAATGGGATCCTGGATCCACTATTGGAATCTGGGAATGTTTGGTGCCTGGTACAGCGAGTTTTTAGGTATCCCGTATATAGACACCAGCTGATAAAGAAAGGCCTACAAATGTCAACAATGGATGTTTAAAACATCAAAGTCATTCTAAAGTTCACACATCGCTGTTTAAATTCATCAAAATGATCGTCGCAACATGAACCGAGGGATGAGTTGCGGCCTGAGTGAGTTATTCCACCAGAAAGGCTGACGATGGGCTGCTTCCCACCTCGAAGCAAAAAGCACACGTCTTCCCGATAATACAATTGAAGGAAACCACACATTCAGTGGTTGTTTTTGTGGGTGTGGCCTGCACTCGCCGAACGGTGCCGACAGGCGGGTTCGATATCGAGGGCATACATTGGCTCAGACCGCATACTCTCCAGTGCCCGGATTACAAAGGCCCTTGAAAACCCTCCGATCAGCTACAATACCACTTCAGCACGACCGCGTTTCATGGTTGGTTATTCCTTGCGCCAGCCTTCACAGCTGTGCAAACTGCTCCAGCCAACATCCAGCCCCGACAGCCCCCGTCGCGGCCCGGATGTCATCAGGAGCGACCGGTCACGTCCAACCTCACCTGATGCTGGGGCCTGAACGTGTAGGTGACCTGCTGCGGTCGTCCGGTCACCATGTCGCCTGAGGGCGCGCCGGCCAGCGACCGGCGCCCGTGCCACGCGGCTGGCAGGCGGAGAACGGACGGCGACGGACGGAGCGCGGCACACGTGGCACCGGAGGTCGCACGACGGGGACAGCGGTGTCGGCGGCTCGTCGGCGGCCAGTGGCCGGCGGTCGGCGCGGCCCAGCGGGGCGTACTCAGGCCGCGCCATCGTCCATCGATCGCCCCGGTGCCTGCCGGACCAGGGCGGAGCTCCACCTGCCGGACCAGGCCGGAGCTCCACCTGCCGGACCAGGCCGGAGCTCCACCTGCCGGACCAGGCCCGAGCTCCACCTGCCGGACCAGGCCAGAGCTCCACCTGCCGGACCAGGCCGGAGCTCCACCTGCCGGACCAGGCCGGAGCTCCACCTGCCGGACCAGGCCGGAGCTCCACCTGCCGGACCAGGCCCGAGCTCCACCTGCCGGACCAGGCCGGAGCTTCACCTGCCGGACCCCACCTGCCGAACCAGGCCGGAGGTCCACCTGTCAGACCAGGCCGGAGCTTCACCTGCCGAAGCAGGCCAGAACTCCACGCCGGACCAGGCCGGAGCTTCACCTGCCGAACCAGGCCGGAGCTTCACCTGCCGAACCAGGCCGGAGCTCCACCTGCCGGACCAGGCCAGAACTCCACGCCGGACCAGGCCGGAGCTCCACCTGCCGGACCAGGCCGGAGCTCCACCTGCCGGACCAGGCCGGAGCTCCACCTGCCGGATCAGGCCAGAGCTCCACCTGCCGGACCAGGCCGGAGCTCCACGCCAGAACAGGCCAGAGTTCCACCTGCCCGACCAGACCAGAGTTCCAACTGTCGGACTGGACGGGACCAGAGCTCTACCAGTGATAGCTGGCCGGACCTGTACCTGTGGGACCTGTGGACAATACGCCGACAGCACCGGCTAAGCTCGTCCCATTTATCGATTACAATTTAGGCCTTTACTCAAGCAGAGGTCGTGGCAGCACACTGCATCCAGCCAGCTCCCACCGTGCTTCTCCCACCGTTCCCCGGAGGCTGCGCGGCGGCTGTCTCCGAGTGCCTGGGACCTTAGCCAACGTTTATCACCTGCTACGAGACCACGGCCGGTCGTCAGATGCACGTGTCGGCCTGCGTTGGGCTGACGTAAGATCGGTTTGGGAGCGGGCAGCGGCCGATATCAGGTCAGCGGCCCACCGCAGGACTCACATGAGCAGGAACGTCGCCTCGTTCGGATCGCGACGGTGCAGCTGCGTACATGTCCTGCGGGTCTCCAGATGGCAGCACAGTCTCGCCACCAGATCGCGGCACCGGCAGGCTCGCGGGCGCACCAGCACTGCGTCGGTCGGCGCGCGCACCTTTGCGGCGTCGTCTGCCCGGCTGAGCGGAGCCGGTCCGTGTGCCCTCAGGCGGACGGTCAGCGGGAATAGGCCAACACTCCGGCGCCAGGCCTCACCGGGCGCTGGGCGCAGAGGCGCTGCCGGTGGTGGGCACCGGTCATAGGGACGCCTGTACGGCGGTGCTCCGCAGCGGTCGCGCGGCGCCGACCCTCCCCGCGGGAAGTGTGACGGGCGAGGCGGGGAGAGGCTTCGTCCGACTCACTGTCGGCTTGAGGCGGGCAGGCCAGGTGCAGGCCTGATCGTCTGGGGGGTGCCGGGGCTCCTGGGACCGCCCGTGGCCGCGACTGCGGCACAACTGCGCTGGGAAGGCCGCATCAGCCGCACACCTGTGGTGTCCCGACCAGAGCCACAGCCGCCGTCACTGTCTGCCGGTCTGCGGGTCGTAGCATAACCGCGGGATGCAAGCCTTCGGAAGACGTGAAAGCTAGGATTTTCAACCCGCGCCTGGTTTGGATGAGATGCTGACTGTGAGATGAGCGTGGCTCTGGTCGCTTTGTCTGGTTTGGATGAGATGCTGACTGTGGAGCCCGAGGTGAGCGTGGCTCTGGTCGTTTTGTTACGTACCTGTTAAGAGTTTACGTCGAGTTTAGTTAGTTAGTTTAGTAGTCTCTTCTGGCATCAGGCGGAATGGCTGTGGTCGGTATTCGGTATGCCACTGAGGACAAGGTCGCTGCTGGACCAGTGGACCGACCACTACAAATCACATTTTATCTGACCGGCAACACACGTTTTAAAAGTGGCGACATATATAACTTGAGGCCTGAACAGTAGCGCATCCATGTCGCTGAATACCTCAGCTAATGCCATGCATATTGCGGGAGGCGTCAGGTGGTTGTGATTCCCACCTTCGCGGGCGTCGTCGATCCGACCGGCGTCACAGAGTCACTTGGCACAGTTCTGCGGGAGCCGGGGCGGGGGGGGGGGGGCAGGGGCGACCCTGGGCCGCGGGCTGCACCACACCGAGCGCCGGCTAAATTGGGCGGCCGGCGTGGCGCCGCCGCCAACACAGGCAGTCGCCGTCGATAGGTTTGGGTCAGGCTCGGTCCGGCGGCGCGGCCACGCGCGAAGATGAGGCCTCGACGGCTGTCACCGGGTGATCTGTCACGAGCCAGGACATGGCGCCGGTCCCCAGGTCAACGACGCCGGGGTCAGAGCGATGACTCCCCGACAGAAACTGACGTCCGACATGAAAGGTCCCTTCACGGCGGACTTTAGGCGACTGTTATGACATTCTAATTGCAAATAACGTCTCACTAATAGCCATCTATCAAAAGGACGCAGCCCAAAAGAAAGGACGAGTTCGTCGTGAAGGTCACGCAAAAGTGGAAAGTTCTCGCGTTCTCATAGGATATTGCACAAGTCTGAGAACTGTCAACGGAGCGCTGACTGCGCATGCCATCATGACTCCACGATGCTGCGCGGCTGCTCGCCCCGCGGGCTTACTGTATTAGAAGCCCACGCCACACACACTCGCGGTCTGGCACGTTGACTCCAGTGTGTCTCATAATGCCGTAGTGTGCTATGACAACACGATCGTTCCTGACTTCTCTATTATGTCCATGGCATAGTTGATATAAAACCGCTTATCAAAAGCCATGAGCACACGTAGCACATTATGGCCTGTGAACATTCCTAACTCACCGGAACTAGAACCGAATCACAGTCACAGGGGATCCCTCTGTGGAAGACCACCTGCACAGCCCACTATGCCCTTACATGGCGAATACCTCACTACGATAGCCACCTGAGCACCGTCAGCTCCGCACACCGGCCGCCACACCCGTCCAGTCCAGCCAATAGCGCACAATGACTCACTCTTAGCCTCCGCCGGCTGTCTCCCCTTCTAATCTCGCCGCACCCCTCTGCCCAACGGGTCTGTAGCACAGGCGTGGCCGGAGCCGCCGCCGACCGGTCCGCTAGAACGCGGACCGCGGCGCGCCGCCCGCCGTCGCCGCCATCACCGGCGCTCGGCTTCGCACGCCAGCCGTTCGTTCCTCCGCAGGAAGAACGCCTTGCCGCCCTCGTAGCTCGTGATCATGATGGCGCAAGCGGGCGCCACCTTGACGACACGCGGCACGAGGCCGGCGAACAGGCCGCGCACACCGGCGCGCCGGTAGATGTCGCGTAGCGCGACGGCCACGCCGGTGTCCGCGCGCGTAGGCTCGCCGCCGAGCACGCGCTCCCCGAACTCGATCTGCCAATGCGTCTTGACCACGTCGAACGGCAGCGTGAGCACGGCGGCGAGCGTGCCGGCCGACGAACCGGCGACGAAGCTGAACAGCGGCGAGGGTGTCTGTTGGTTGAATGCCAGCTTGAGGCTCTCGTAGCTGCCCCAGTAGAGCGCTGAGAACGGCACGTCTCGGATCAGCGTGGGCGTCAGGCCCTTCCACAGGCCGCGCGGGCCCTGTTCGCGCAGCAGCTGGCGCACGGCCGCGCCCACCTCCGTGTAGCGCATGCGAGTGGCCTGCATGCGCGTGCGCACGAGCTCGAGCGGTGCGACAAGCGTACTGGACCAGACGCGTGCCGCCGCGCCCGCCACCATCGGCACCCACGCCGGCTGCGGCACCGCCGGCGTGCCCCAACGGTCGCGCAGCAGCAGCCGCGTCTGGTCGTACGTGGCGAAGTACACGACCGTCGAAGGGATGGCCGACACGAGCGTGGGCGAGAGGCCGCTCCAGAGAGATGCCACGCCGTCGGCGCGCGCAATCTTGACGGCCGCGTCCAGCGTGCCCGTGAAGGCTGGCGGTGCCGGTCGCCGGTACCAGCTGGTCTCGACGGCCGGGCAGCGCGCGGCCGGCGCGCCGGCGCACGACGATGCTGCCGCCGGCGGCCCGCCCTGGCCGTTCAAGCAAAGGCAGAGGTGGTCCATGAGGCCGTTGCAGTAGAGAAAGCAGCGCTGCGCGGTGAGCGCGCGCTGCTGCGCCTGTAGCCGGATCTTGACGACGTCGAGCGGCGTCATGGTGAGGCTGGTGAGGACGGCGCCGGAGCAGGAGGCCAGCATCTGCTGGGCGGGCGTGGCGCGGAACGTGGGGTCGTCCACACTGAGCACCTGGCGCGCCATGGCCGCGCTCACAGCCGGCCGCCACAACACCGTCTGCAACCGAGGCCGAGGAAATCAGGGTCGGCTGCACTCGCGCCGGCGGCCGCGGCAGGAGCCACGTCACCGGGCCGGCGGCCGCGGCGTGAGTCGCGTCACCGGGCCGGCGGCCGCGGCGGGGAGTGGCAAGTCCGGACATAAGTCGACAGGGACTGACCACAACACGGAGTGCAACCTCCCGATTTACCCGGTCGCGGATGCGTTCAAAACGGGCGATGACCAGATATCCTACAAAACCAGGGTTTTTCAAAGGCAATAACAACCATGACAATGCAAACCACACAAAACGCATTCGGAAAACTCGGAAGACATGAGTGCAACAGGGTGTTCTTAAGTGGTGCAATAGGGCATAAATATTGTCAAAAATGTATCCGATCCGTCCACGTTCGGAAGCATTAAACAACATCTCAATAACGCTGTCCATGTACATGACAATGGGTGAGCTCAACTCAGCATCAACAGACACTGAACGTATCCGCTGCATGAAACAGAAATCACCGCACTGTCTTAATGACGCCGACGAGAACACGGACACCATCGCCGGCGAACAAAGACGAAACAATGTGCCAGCGCCGACCGGATGCCGCTGGGCCCGGCCTCAAACAAATCACGAGAACGGCACAAGTCACGGACTGTTTACAGCGGAGCGACGTGCCGGCGCTAACACAGGACGAGTCAACAGAGCGGGTCGTCCGCGGCATGGCGTCCTAAACACACGGAGCCAGCTCTACGCCGATGGCGTCCAAGGCCCGTCACTTCCCCACTCGGCTCGGCTGGCCCGCTCACACGCTCAGCCCAGAAATCACCTATGCTTGGGGGTGAAAGGATACCGAGAGCAAATAGTGTTCTTCTTTTGGCACACACCTCAAAACCATGGCATGATCATTCATTCAACTTTTGCATAATGTGGCAAATGGAATGACTGGAAGATTGTGATGAGCTCAAAGGAGAAGGTAGTTGGCATGTACAAATAATATTGCATATTGGGCTTAATACAGTCTACATGAAAAGTTCTGGATTCTTTGCATTTCTTTTATTAAAAGTTATACTTCTTATGAGGGGCTTGTGGAGGCTGAAAGAAAAGAAAATACAACCTGCTAAAAATCCATGCAAGGCCAAAATACTGACAACAATATGGTTGTCTTTCAAATGAAAAAAACGGAAAAAACATCTTTTACTATTTTCAGTCTATTTGGCATTACTAACTAAAGCTGATTCAGCAAATATACTGACATTTTCTGCCATGCTGATTCTTCTATATTTCACATCAAGGGCAACAACAGAGCTGATGACATGCGTTGCTATTCTGATGGAGAATCTGTTGATAAAGAAGTGTTCTCAATCTTCTGTCAAATACATGTTAACTATGTACACCAAACCCTATCACTCAATATATTGTAGAGCAAATATCTCCCAACAGCTGGCAGCAGGATGGGTGAGTTCAAATAGTTTCAGCACTTCCCTTTCGACCCTTGCTTCAACAGCCTGTCGCTGTCAGCAGTGGCTGCTCAAGGCCGGATGTAGTCACAGAATGGAATGGAATGGACTAAGCATAGGGCAGGGCAAACTTTCACCACAGAATTCTGCCACAGACTTGGAATTTCATGGTCAGATGGAAAGTGATGGCAGTGCAAGATTTACAGTGAAAGTAAATACTTGTATGTAACCTTGCAAAACTCTAGGCAGTTCATGAGAAATCCAAACATGTTTAACACTCTGATTATTTTATCACTGAGAGCAGCCACCTTGGGGACTTAGTGAAAAATGTGAATCATGTCACACATTCTTCATGGAGCAAAGTTGTCCAACATGCTGAACAAGAGTGTATGAAAAATGCCATGCTCCCATAGGTTCTATGGCAGTGTGCATTGCTGCTTTTACACACAATTGACACTCAATGTGGCCATGGCATTGGCACTTCACAGTGCCCTACCATAGGTCACAAATGCTGTTCCCTTGCAATGACCTATGTTGCAACATCTTGGGAGTGGTGAATGGGGCAGGACCAGCAACATGAGTCTCTTGCAAGCATCTAAAGCTGTATCTTTTGTAATATAACCGGTATGAATATTCTTACCAGGAGTTTTTTGTCTGTAATGGATTTTAAACAAAGTAGTCATCTTGAAGACCATTTGGTGCATTTCACAGACCTACCCTTCTGCAGACCTGAATCCTGCTCTTTCTGAGCTACAACCCTGCAAAGATGTGCTGACTTTTTCCTGCAGACTATCTTAAGTCACCCAGGCATCCACAATACCATAACATTGTCATTCAAATCCTCCCATTGTACTGAATATGCTGCAATCAAGGCCAATTAAAATATAATTGTTGCATTCTTTGAATGTGGGATTCATAAGCATATAATGGTTCTTAATTGGGCCAATCAATGTTGTGGCACATTCAGGAGCATATTCAGTTATTACAGAAAATGTGTTGACTACAGTTATCTCCCCCAAAATAAGGGGTCATGGTACAGACATAGCTGTGTAAACACAAATGTACACATGCATCTTATCATACCTGATGCTAGCTTTGATATCTTCAAATGTGGAACATTCCATATAAGACGCATGGAAGCGTTCAGGGCGCAGCCTAGATTTCCGTTAAGGGCATGTTCGACATTTCAATATACTGAAGCAAGCATCAGAGGGTGAGACTCACTCATGACCATTGGTGTGATTTTATCAATCACCGGCAATACCGGAACCGAATTTGCTGAATCAATGCCCAAAATATCGAGTGTGGATATGAAGCGAGCCGATTTCTTACCTTTCCGCTTTATTAGCTAGAACGACCGACGCCGTGTCAAGCTCCGAAAGCGTTGAAAACGAGTCGAAAGATATGCTCAACCCGGCGACGAGCCCGCCACGTTGAGGAGAATACATGTCGACAATCTCAGCGCACACAACCGCACTACACCAGTACCACCTATTGGCATGAACTGAAGCCGACCAGACCGCTACGGTTTTTGCGCAGTGCGCGTAGTTGTGCCAACTTTCTGAAGACGCGACCGACGACGGTCTGACGCAAATGCTCCCAGCTGCCAACCACGAGCCAGTTTGGCACTAGAGTATGTTAGCGTCCAAATCTGGCAGGCCGGCGTGTGATCGATTTCCATCGGTCTCCGCGTATCTGGCTTTGAGTCGCGGTCTGTTCGAGCTGAAATACATCGACCAATTTAACATATTCGCAAAACTGAACCCAAGTGGGGAAAAGACCAATAATTCCAGGCTTGAAACTTGTGCGCTAAGCACTCCGCAAGAAAATTGCACCCGTAGCCACAAATTATACCGCTTATCTGCTTATTCGACACGCTCGCAAAGCCACATATTGTTGCCAGCGGATTTCATGCATTGGGCGCAGTCCAATCATCCAGATAACTTTATCGTTGTTGGAAGTGGACCCCGGATGAACAGATTTATCGATGGTCTGCTGGTTAAGTACTGCTTTACGCTGAGTTTCCCTCCCCAACAGCGTGAAAATTTCACATTGGGCCTATGGACTTAAACCAGAAAGAATTGCAACCGATAGGCACCCTTCCCCCAGTTTGGGAGGGCTTGCACTTGCGCTGCCTCTGAGCAGTGATGCAAGTGAATCGATACATTTGACAAATCCGTGTTCAAAACTTTGAATCGATATCTGCGGTCATGAGGCTTGGGGAATAATGTTCGTTTGGTCCTAGCCCCCGGTCGATATTCATGGGAAGGTTCAATGTCTCATTTCCGTTAGTTGCGATCGTGGTAACATGCTCTGCCTCTTGTGCTCGCCGTCAGACAGATGATCCGACGCTTTCGCCACATCAGACTTTCCGCCCCGTGTCTGACGTTTAATCTACGCTAACATTTTGTGCACGTGCTTAATGCATTAACATTCATTCTTTGTGTGCACATCAGACGACGTCAAAAAGCTAACAGGTAACTGCTGATAACTGCTTCCTAGGTGGTGACTGGGATGTGCTTTTGACTGATTCTGCTCCAGCGGAATCCATCTGGACTCTGATTCGCAGTGCCGGGCAGGGTTGCGATTCGAGTTGACGCCACTTTCAAGTTGTACTGATCAGGGCAGATCAGTTCTAAGGCGTTCTTAAAAGGGAAAAATATCAACCAAAATTAACGATTTAATGAGCGATTCATGTACGTATGAGCGGTTGATGTGAGACTCAACTCCATCACTTACCAGAAAAGTCAGAGACATAGTTAAAGGCGTAGAGGCAAGGGGATGTCTTCCTCCAGCGGAACGTTGGAAGCTTTACTTATCGGACCCTGGGCCACCCTTTTTGTTGTATTTTGTTTTTGAGGGACTACCGTAAGCACATAACCAGATGGACTATTACGGCCTATGGTGTCCTTGATAGGTAAATTCATTATGCTACATCCAAACAGTTGGTGTCCTTCTTAGAGCCTCTGGTAGGAAATGCAGAGCTCCATGTGAAAAACACTGAAAAGTTTATTGATTTTGTTCATGCATATATGATAGATACATACAAGATAAATGGAGTGATGGCTTCATTTGATGTAGATTCGTATTTTACATTGATCCCACCTGAAAAAGGCTTGCAAAACGGTAGAAGAACGACTAATTATCGAAATGGGTAACGATAATGGAATGGTAAGGTGACGGCTGAGCATGAAGGTAGGTGACGTTATTAGACTCTTAGGTATGTGTCTTGATGCCACTTACCTGCAGACCAACAACGATTTCGATAAACAAACACAGAATACAGTAATGGATAATTTTGTCACCGGTTGGTAGTCAGTTCATTTCAGGAGAAAATGGCACGAGGGGCAATGGACATTTTCCTAGTGGCGTCAAGGGAAGGAGGAGACATTTGGATTACATGTTTGTCGTGTTTAAATAGCACCATGTCCCAGCGCTCCTGGAGCACTTAAACGACGTGTTCCAAGTAGGCAAATTACTATTTTGCTTTCCTGGACATCTTTATTTTACAATCAGTAGAGGGCAGCATGGACACAGATGCGTTGGGAGACAACTCATACGGATGAGCATTTGAACTTCATGTAATATTATAACAATACACTCAAAGAGTTTTGGCTAGACCGCTTTCAAAAACAGCTATTTCCAACAAGCCCGACGAAAGCACATCATCGACGAAGTCAAAACGCATAATGCATCGATTAACTCCTCACAATATTACCTTATATGAGACCAGTATTTGAGACGATAACTCGGCTTTTCAAATCACTCGCTCGTGTAGCCATCAAACCGCGTGCAAACCTGGTTCGGCTCAAAGACAAGCTAAAAACGGACCAAAAGACCGAAATAATTGATCGATACAAATGTGAATACGGACGCGTTTATGTGATGATGGATGCCAAAGCTTCAGGACCGGTAGGGATGCACACCAGCGCGCGATAAAAACACAGATAAAAACCATGCGGGCTTAAAAAAGCACATTCTGGCAGGGAGCTATAATCGCTTTTGAACTAGGTGGGGATGAAAAATTACATCGCAAAAAGACCGTGCGGGAGTGAAAAAATCATTTCACAAAAGATGAAACTTTGAGCTCGTGACTGACGCTTCAGCAAACAAAGACATCTATTTCAAGTTGGCATGGATGTAATATCAGAAACCTAACAAAACCATTTTGTTTTTTAACATCTTAGGCCATTAATGTAAGACAGAATACATTAAAGCACGGTAATTTCATGGCAGTGTAATGAGCATGAAAAATTATTGACACCAATAATTTGATACTGCACTTTGCACTTCCCTTCCACAGCACTCTTAACACAAAACAAAGCGAGGACTTCAATAACAAAACAACAACAGAAGATTAAACAAGCACAAAACACTCAAAAAAACCTTGGACTCATACATATCAGCCCATCACCAAGTCAAACACACTTAACATACCTCTGGCTTCTGTTAAGATGGGGTCATCGAGAACAAACATTTTGTCACTGTTTCTTACAAAATTCCAATGCTTATTTCCATGAAAGCAGCCTAACTATGCCTAACATGAAGAAGTCTTACTTCATCTCATCCTGTCTAACCTGTTTGTATCACGGCGGCAGTTGCCAGTTACTGATTCTTGCACAATTCCTATTGCCACTTGCCATGAACTTAACCAACTTGACCTCACTCAGAGTAGCCCATATGTTGAATGTCATCACAACTCACACATCTGTTGACAGCAGCACTTGTGAAAAAAACATGATGAAGCTATTTTTTGGCTGGCTTCAACTTGCATTCTTATTCAGTTCATTTGTGTATGCTTGTTGACATTAGACAAAGTTGACAGCACACAAATCAAAACACTTAAAATCCCTTTTAAAAACTTGTTTCCATTGCCATGGTCAACCTATGTCAAGGGCATTAATGAATACGCTCCACACAACAATCTCTCTCCTCCAAAAGTGACATAACTTTTAGATGACCATGCCAGCATTGCTCCTTGCCTTTTCAGCTGCAGCAAAGCCATCTAGTTAGGCTTGTTTATTCATATTTAATGACAAAGTTTGAGATGTTGGCTTCACATCTTAAATGGGCTGGTCAGACTATTTGTTACATACTAATTTTTAACTCATATCATAAATGCTACGCAGCTACGAGTATCCCTGTGTTAAAAATATAGTGCATACATACAGTACAGTCATTTGCCAGTCAGCAAACCATGACAGCTATAGAAGACATTTGGTTAAAGCAGCCATGAGGGACCACTTCAAGAAATGTGGGGCAAATAATCAAGAATATGGAACAAAATAAGCACATTGCATGCCTTGTGGCATCATAACTTGACTTATAACAAATCTCGACGGATTAAAACAGAGAATGGCTAACTCTGGTTACCAATCATGTATTGAAAGCAGGTAAGGTAAGCAATTACTTGGCCCACAGGAGACTTACTGGCTTCTTCCTGCTCCCCAAAACAAAAAGTCAGCACCTTTTGCGTGGTCTGCTGGCAGACAGAGTCATCTCACTCCCCCCAAATATAAATATCAATCATGCCACCAATCTACGAGATTAAAATGCGAAACAAGTAAGAGGTGTGCATGATAAACATCTCCAGAGGGCAGAACTTCGCCATCAAACACTTCTGTATTGGCTGCGTCAGGTCTATCCCAAGGCTGTATATGGCAGCATTAAGATGGCCTTGCCAGGTAGCCTGGTGAGTCAGACACTCGAAAGGCTTACATTTACCATTATTGAGCACCGCCATGGACCAAGAAAACGGTTAATCGAGGGCTTTGAGGGGAAAAATGGCGGCAAAAATCAGTTCCGTGCTTCAAATTGTCTCCTTCATTCCCTGTGAATTGGTCACGCTTGGGTGCATATCAAACATGTTTGGGCGGCTGGCGAATTAATCCAATTTATGTATGAAATACGTACAAATTTGCAGTAGGAGCATCTTGCAGAGAAGTTGGTCAAAATTTTAAGCAGCAGATGGTACCACTAAAGACAATCGGAAAGGTAGGAGGAATAAAGTGGCATCGCACTTGTATGATACCAAGAAAAACAAAAGTAGTTAAATAAACTTACAGACTGATACGTTTCTCGCAAAATTTTGTATTAGCTGATTTTATTTAAAATATGTTAACATGATTGCTCAAATGGTGATATTCATCTCCTAAATGAAATTTAGAAGACATTTCTTGAATTTTTCACCCCTGCATTTCGGGAGTGATGCAATTTAGTGGACAAGATTCCTCGGGAAAAAAGAAATACGCGGAGCAAAATTCTGTACCAGGCCTTGCTGGTGTTTGCACCAGGCTGTGCTTTCGTGGTGTGGTGGTGAGACCCAAAAACATAGAGGATGCGTGAAAACCTTCCACTTGGCACACAGCTGCCGATCGTGATGTATTTTGTAAACAAATCAAACTTAATGCGTGCTAGCGGCTTGAGTCGCTGGGGTTCTTGGGCTTGGAAGTACATGGTGCCCTTGCTCTGTGCATACATAGACATGACAGATGTAGGTGAGGCAGGACATAGCCATAGGTGTCCAGGTTCTGTGA